CTCCCTCCCTCCCTCCCTCCCTCCCTCCCTCCCTTCTTCCTTTTTCTTAGACAGTGTCTTTCTCTCAAACAGGTGAGCCAGGCTGGAACCCAGCGATTCCCCTCTCTCTGTCTCCCCAGTGCTCTGATTAAAGCCGGCGCCACCACACTCTGCATGTGAGTGTTTTTATGAGAAAACCCAACTTTCTGTAGTTTTTACAAAGTGCTTGCTGTTTTTTGAAGACCTTTACAGTAAAGCACGGGACATGCTCATTGTTTTGAAAGTGGCCAAATTCAGTAGAAGTTAGTAATTTCGTTAGGGTGTTGTACCGGAGCATACCAGTTTATCCTGAGATGGAAACTAAATGAAGAGCAGAGTCCTTTGACTTCAGATGAAGCGGATATTCTAGTCTGTGTTTGTTTACCATCTCTGCTATCTGGCCGTATCTCCTCCACTGCGCGTTCGGAGTAAGATGTTTATTTCAGAACAGAAGCATTTCTCTCTGGGGCCATCTTCGCAGCCAGATCGCATCTCGGAGTGCACATGCTTATTTTGGCAGTAGATGTTTCTAAAAAGGAGACAAACATTACAATTGTTGGGTGAAAATGAATCTTTTCTTTGTGACTATTCAGGCAGCTGAGCAGTTTCCAGGATTCTTACCTCTGTTACTATATTTTTGGTGTAGTGTAGAAATTTTTTGCATTTACTTGAAAGTCATATTTTGATAGAATTTGAACAGTTACTGTGAAAGGGAGGCTTCATGGAGCAAAGACTGTGTCAGATAACATTCCCGTAGGGCTTGTTATTGTTGTTGTATTTTGATGTGAAATACTTGTTGCTGGTTCTCTCCCTGCATCCTGAGTGTGAAAAGGCATGATTTTAGTCTCGTCTAAGAACGCTCAGGTCTCCTACTTTGAGGAGTGTGATTGGATGAAGGAGGAAGACTTGACCTGGCAACGAGGAGTAGGTGCCGGTGTGTTTACACTTAGACTCTTGGAGTTTTGGGTCACTTCACAGGCGCCTACAGACATCCCTGCATGCATGCTCACACACTTGCTTATGGAACATTTGTGGGGCAGTGGCATTTTTATGTAATGTATCCCATATGCTAAATATATTTTCTGTTATATACATACATACATA